AACCCTGAAACAACCTCTGGGCTGATCTAAGTCAGGGCACGGCTAACAGACAGATCAAACCCTGAAACAACCTCTGGGCTGATCTAAGTCAGGGCACGGCTAACTCACAGAACGAACTCTGAAACAACCCATAAGTTGTTGACTCAATCAATAGCAATCCTACACTTTGTTTTGAAATTAGCGGAGAAACCAGAACTTCTTTTGCTTTGACGGCCCGAAAACATCTTTGAATAAAGCAATACTTACGCAGACAGTCTGATGCTTTTGCACTCCTACTAGTCTTGGTAGAGTATCCTTTGTCACATGGCTGACAAGCAGTCATACCATCTATATCCATGTARGTACCCTTACCACACTCCTGGCATGAATCTGTTGTYTCATTGTGGAACGTTCCTGGTGCGCAGTTGACTGAAAGAAAGTTTATTTCATAGTGGGTATTCCATGTGGGACTCTGTCGTGTCAGGGAATCCGATTGAGTTATGCCTAGACCACAGGCAGCCCAAACAAGTTTCTTGTGTGTGGTTAATACTTTATATACGTAGAGAAAAGCGGATGTTGAAAAAGAAATACTAAACTGCCTCAAATCGCGCTCAAACTTCGCCAGAAGACTACGCAAGATATAAGCAACGCCTGCAGCAAGTTTTGAAGCAAATTATTAAATCTTCATTATAACTCCYGTATGTTCCCTTATAAACCATACGCAAGAACCTTGTTTGGGCTGCCTGTGCCTAGACTGGCCGTTTGGACTGCGTTGTTGTTTTGACAACAAGTTAATAGGAACTTTATAGCGACCTTTAGATCCGACGACGAGTACGAGATCGAGTAAGAGTACAAGTTTTAAAATTGGTCCTGTGCACGTGGTTAACACTAAATCGTAGTCGATTTCCGATTTTTTACAATGTAAAGTTTCAATCTACGTACACGATCACGACTACAAAAAGATAGTGCCTCTCTTTAAAAGTTAAACACTCGTGCTCGTGCTCGTACTCGTCGTCGCATCTAAAGGTCTCTTATAACGTGTAAAGGAGTTTATAACTAAACTGAAGTTTCGGGTGTTAGATTTGTGGGAGTAAAAGAGGAAATTAAGAGAAGAGTAGATATTTTTGTAAATAATTCCAGGGAAGATACTTACTGCAAAGAGATAGTTCGCTAGTTGAACCGGCCTTGCATTTGCCGTCGACTGGAGATGATAGTCCTGGGAAACGAAAGCAGTATTTAGTTTCATGGTGAATATAACTGCTCAAGCTAAAATATTGTTCATGACCTACAAGAGCGTCAAACGCTTGTCGTCGAGCAGCTTGTCGAGCAGCTTAACAAACATTCTGATCCTGGTGATAACAAGCCGTTAGGAGGTTGAGGGGAAAATGGGTCGAGTCGGCATTACGGTGCATTGTGGGAAGGTTTCAGGAGACATGTTACCAAGTACATGTTACCATGTACCACAATGTACTGCAATCCGAACTCGACYCAGTTTTCTCATCAACCTCGGAAAGGCTAAAAAGCTGATAGATTCAGATATCATTTTACCTGCGCAGGCTGGTATTTGAGTCAAGACCTGGTAACCTCCATTGTAGTAGATCTTCCATTGTCCCATCATACATCTGTAGACAGCATTAGTTAGAGACCTGGCACCGACGAGCTTAGGGTTGAAATAGTAGCCGGTTTGACATCGAAGGTACAATAGCATTGCTGTCTTTATGGCATTACCATTAGCTGGATGTTCAAGTGCTGGACAAGTAATACCTGCAAGAATGATACCAAGATGCGGTCAAACTTTCTCATACTAAGAGCATGCGTAGACGTTGTGGACTAATCTACAATCATACTACGAGCATGCGCAGACGTTGTGGACTAATCTACAAACAGACTAAGAGCATGCACAGACGTTTTCTTCTAATTTGCATATTGACTACCAGCATGCGCAGACGTTGTGGACTAATCTACAAACAGACTAAGAGTATGCGCAGACGTTTTGCTTTAATTTGCATAATGACTACGAGCATGTGCAGATGTTGTGGGATATACTACAAACATATTAAGAGCATGCGCATACATTTTTGTTATAATTTGCATAGAGACTACGAGCATGCGCAGACGTTTTGCACTAATGTGAATACAGATTACGAGCATGCGCAGACATTGTGGACTACTTTAAGTACAGACTACGAACATGCGCAGACGTTTTGCACTAATGTGCATACAGATTACGAGCATGCGCAGATGTTGTGGATTAAATTAAGTACAGACTACGAACATGCGCAGACGTTTTGCACTAATGTGCACACAGATTACGAGCATGCGCAGATGTTGTGGATTAATTTAAGTACAGACTACGAACATGCGCAGACGCTGTGCACTAATTTACATACAGCATACGAACATGCGCAGACGCTTTACATTTGTGTTTGGTAGTACTGATTGCACTTGACTTACTTTGAGTTGTAATATGGAAGTCACATAAGGCTTTGTTTCCAGCTGCATCCTGGGCTGTGTATCGGATATTTATCGCTGTATCTCGCTGCATTTGGTGCCCAGGCTTCTTGTTCGACATACTAAATACAACGCCGACATTGTCCGTGAATATGGGTTCCTTCCAGGAGACTGTGACGGGATCGTCGTTGGACTTGACTGTAAATGGTTTTGGACAGTACTTGACTTTGGGTGCATGCTTATCTAATAAAATAAGATAGTAATTACGAAAATGAAGATATTAGCAGCCACCAGCTAAGTTGTTTATGAAGCAAGACATTATTGGCTAGTCTATTTTTAAATTTGTCTGTTATCGAAACATTCCTATGAAAAAAATGCTTGATCTTATTGGACGTTTTTTCCAGTTTTCAGTTCATGAGCTTACCCTCAACAATGACGTAATAGTAACAGCTTACCCTCAACAATGACGTAATAGTAACAGCTTACCCTCAACAATGACGTAATAGTAACAGCTTTTCGAAACACCATCAGGATTGGTTGCTGTCCACTTAACACGTGTCTTTCCAGCTGGGAACGGATAGTTCTCGTTCAAGTTACTTGGTGTTACTTCAGCGGTCTTCATGTTAGTGACCGGCAATTGCCATTTGAAGCCCAGAACTGCTKTGTTACTGTTTGCTGTTAGATTTACTACGATATCTGTCGGACATCGTATCCAGGGTTCTTGATATACTAAGCAAAAGAGAGAGAGAGAGAGAGAGAGAGAAGTCGATTTTCTGTTGCAGTTCCATTGCGCTAATTGATATATTTCGCTTTGACGTTTAAGGGGCACAGAATGGCTAAAAACAATAAGAATTTTGACTAAATTTACTCTGCTGCTAAATCAATAGCCCCAAAATGTCTGGTTTCMTTTACAATATATATGGTATTTGGTGGATATTATAATTGTATTTCTAGGCTCTACAAAAAAATTACCTCAAAACTATTCTATCCTTGAATGTCAACCTTTTTCCATTTCAGATTTATACTTCATATCATTGTCTCAAAACTAATGGTTATCACGAGACAAATAAAATTTTCAAGAGAATGGCACGTGGTCATTGTATTAACCTACGTCTGACACAGGACACCRGGGATGGCTCACCTTTTTCACTGGACAAAGATAATACTCAAGAGAACGACACATGGTCCTTGTAAGAACCTACCTCTGACACAGGACACCGGGGATGGTTCACTCCATTGTGTATTATTACAAGTGGTGTATCTTGGTCCACGTAACTCGTAACCAGGTTTGCAATAATACACACATCTCATACCGTGGTCCACATTCTTCATGGAACAAGACTTGGGGATTACTCCTCCGTTTGTTAGTTCTTGTAGAACAGGACAAACCTCGGCTAAAATATAGTATGAAATGAAATAAATACACAACGCCTCGGCTCAACTAGGTTAACTTCTTTTTCTCTCCTTTTCTTTTTCTTTCTTTCCCTTTCTTTCTTCTTTTTCCTTTCGCTCTTTTCCCCATTTTGTTCGCAATAGCCATACACTTGACGGTTTTGTTTGACTCTATTTTTCAGTCTTTTATCGTTCTTTTTTCTTTCCTTTTCCGACAAAAGCTTAGTTCTCTTTATATAACCTACTTACGTTTGCAGTAAGGCTGCTTTCCAGACCATGTACCATCGATATTACAAGTCAGTGACCTGTCTCCATTGGCCAGTTTATATCCAGCTGCACACTGGTATGTACACATAGTATTGCGGCGAATGTTGTATCTGTCGTCGGTACAAGTCGAAGGGACAATAGAACCACGGAAAGGCGCTTCCAGCTCAGGACAGTAGATCTCTGTAAAGTAAGTTCCAAAATCCAAAAAATGAAGACTTCATGATTTCAATGCATCAAATAAACCTTTTTCAGCTTTGGCGTAATTTATATTTTATTTCAGACCACGTGTCATTCCATTTTTTGTTAGGAATTCATCCATATTCATGTACCTTTCTGATGCGTAACCTTCAAACAAAGAAATGATTCTCTAGGGAATGAAACGTGGCCCAAAATGGGGAAAAATGGCACAAACCGAAAAGGTCCATTAATTAAAAGTACTTCCTGTTTCATTTCGGTCTCAACCTCAATATTCTGTGTTTTTGAATTCGACAATGATTTTTCAATCAAGAACACCTTACCTTCACATCCCTTATCATCGGGCATCAGTCTGTATCCGTCGTTACATGAACAAGCGTAGCCACCTTGATAGTTCGTACAATTTTGAGCGCACCCTCCTTTGTTTGGAGTCTCGGTGCATTCATCGATATCTGAAACACAATTATAATATGATTTACGGTTAAGAAATAAAAAGCTTTTTCCGTGCTCTGTTCACTAATGCAGCACAGTTCTCGACCAATCACAGCGCGCGTACTATCTAGATCGCTCACTTTTCACGAGAATGGGAAAGAGTTGTGGGATTTAGAAGGGCACGTAAAAGAAATGGCATTTAAGGGGTTACTCCCCAAAAAATAGCAAAGAAAATTAATAAATAAGAAAACTTTGTTAGTAGGGTGCCACGTACAAAAATTCATGTTTGGAAGGGGTCATACATYTTTTGTTGTATGCTCGTAGAAATGCCCGTAAAAAGTGAATGGTCCCTACGAATAAGCTTTTCATAATCTTACTGTAATAGCAGACATAAGTAAGATTGAAAAATGTTAAATTTATTTCATATATATAAATAAACTAAATCTCTGTTTAATCTCCGTGAAAGTACCTTTGCATCCGTACTTGTTATCATTGAGTTTGTATCCCTTCAGACATGCGCAGTTGTAACTACCATCGGTATTCTGGCAGATGTGCTCACAGCCTGCATTGCTGAGCTTGCATTCGTTGAAGTCTAGAAATAATAAACAAATTATCAAAGTTAATCAAGGTATGGTTTGCAGTCTTTTGTAACATCACGTGATGGCAGCCATGACAGGAGGCAGGAACAATTGAATCTAGTCTAATCTGATTTACATGAGAAAGAATTCAGTTTCCCAGGGGAGAAAGACTCTATTGCCGTGCCTCCTGTCATGGCTGCCATCACTCTTTATCGTACCTTCACAAAGATTCTTGGCGTTCTCTTTTGGTTGGTATTGTGGTTTACAGTTACAGATGTGGCCTCCTGGTGTGTTGATGCATCTACTTCTGTAAGTGTCACAGCCGCCATTATTAACGAGGCACTCGTCAATATCTGTAAAAGACAAAAATAGAGATAATAAACATCCTTGTGCGAAGGTCAGCCGGCGTATCGACTTAGAACTTCATTCATAACTCTAAACTTCATATCACCATCCCTTACAAAAAGCAATTCAGATGTTTCAATTACAACTGACAATCTTGCTTTATCTTTCTCATTCAAAGTATAAAATTTACAAATTCAGATTACTGTTAGACTTCTTTACTTGATTTTTACGGTAAAATCTTCAAAAGCGTTCTATACATGTGACTATTATCTATAATAAAAAGGTCAAGTTGAACCTAGTATATAAGAACATTAACACAGGTAACCAAATAATGTCAGTATTGACACGATGACTGTGAATTATGTAAGCTATCAATTATATCAGTTTGCAAGGGCTTTGACTAAATCCTTCTCCTAACTCTCATACCCCCCACTCGTCCTCCTACATACCAATGCAAGTTTTGCCGTCATAAGCCAGTTTGAATCCAGGATAGCAACCACACTTGACCTTCATATTACACAGATTATAACAGACATGTTGGCAGTTTCCGTTGTCCAGTTGGCAGAGATCAGCTAATGGAGCTGTAAGAAAAAAAATGTGGTCGATATAAAAATCATTTTAAAAAAGTATGTTACTAGAAGTTTGTATCAATATAGCAAAGATTACTCCAAGGTATGATGACGCTGATGAAATGATGATGAAAATGATGATTACTGATAAATATGATGGTAGTAATGATGATGATGATGATGATGATAATGGTGGTGGTGGGGATGATGATGATGATGTGTTGATGATGATGGTAGTGATGATATGATGATGATGGTGATTATGGTAATATATAATATATGATGATGATCCATGATGACATATGACGATATATAATGATGGTGATGGTGATCATTGTAAAGAAGAATGATGATGATGGTGATGATAATGGTGATGATTATGATGGTACGTGATCATAGTGGCCATGATAATGCTATTCTGGTCACATTTCAGAAAGCCAAAATGCATTCAAAAATTGTAAAATAATTTAAAAGAAAACTGACGTTGTCAACTATTTCAAACATCTTCCTGTACCAAACATCACATCCACTATCTCATTTTAAAAGATATAAACTTAATCACCAAAACTTGCCTATTCTGGAGTATACAGCAACCTCACACAAGGTAAGTATTCCCTTGCCAAACATCTGTACAGCAACGTATCGTCCAGGGATCGGTGGATTACATTGAACACGCAAGGCTTGTCCTTGTCCAACGGTTCTTATTCTGTCATTGCAAGTTGGGTTTCGACTCTGGTCTCTATGTACGCCAACTCTCACGTCAAAGTTCTTAAGACGTTGGAAATTATTGTGACGATTGACGATAAGAATATCTAGAAAAAGAACATCCAATTGTAAATAAGATATGTCAAGGACTTTTAGCTGTCAAACGAAACATTCTTAAATTGGTTTGTCCAGGTCACGTTACATACTGCATTCTGATTGGCAGCAAACCCAAGTCTGTCGGGGAAGGGGAATTTGTTTCGAGCTTGGTATCACGTTCGGCCAATCAGAATGCAGTATGTAACGTGACCCGCTCACGCTTTACAACGGCCGTTTGAACACCATCGATCACACGCTGTAGAAGAAATCAAATATTCGACTTTAAGCCAGGATTTTTCTGGAAATATTTGGCGTGGTGGCATTCAGAATACATGTTATGATAGAGAAATTATCGTTCCTTTGACATGTTGTATTTTTATTGCGGTTCAAGGGGAGTGAGAGAGATTTTTTTTGGATTTTCTAGCGTGATGTAGTCGATATCGGGCGCTAAGTCTCCAGCCTTCCCATTATTTAGGTAGAGAAGAGCGGATTTTGAAAAAAACCACTAAACGGCCTCAAATCGCGCTGAAACGTCGCCAGAAGACTAAACAAAGTAAAAACAACGACTGCAGCAAGTTTTGAGGCAAATTGTTGAGTGAAACATTTTATTTTCGTAACTTTATCATAACTCCCATACATTCCCTTATAAACCATACACAGGAACCTTGTTTGGGCTGCCTGTGCGCCTCTTTGCTTTATCTTGAACCTTTTGTGCCCTTTTATGGTACTTACCGGTAATGATGTGCTCTGACCCCAAGTCAACGCGCCACCAAGGATTATTCTCATCCTTTGTATGGGTGCATGACTTCATGCTATAGTCAGAACTGTAATTTTCATCCACTGCTCGCTCGCTGAAGCCATTGCTTGAGGTACTGGATTGTTCTGTGCTCTTCTTGCGAGACAAATCTATAAAAAATAACAATTAAGACCATGCAAGTTTCATTTTTGGCTTCAGTATTATTTCTTCGTTTACCAATAACCCTTGAAGGGATACATTTATACGAATACAACTCAAACAAATAAAGTTTTTCTCGAGTGATTTGAGTTGACTGAAATAGRAAAAAAAAATCACCCAAAGTGCAGTGAAAGATGCTTTGTGCCTTAGGGGTATTTACTTTAAAGTTATTCAATTTCTCTAAACCTCATAACTTGCCTATAAAAAATAAAGCATACTTACTTTTGGCAAACTTTGTGCAGATAGTAGCGATGGGTTCGTTTTCTACCTCAAAGCGTTGATTGAGTCTTGGGTTGCCGAAGTCTGTACATGGTTTCATAGTTACGTATGGATCGGCTGTGAACACAAGAAAATCGAAATAAGCTATATAGTCCATGGTCCAATACATACTGGGTCTGTGAGCCAGCATATTAGCAGATCAGGAGCCCATTACTAGGAGCATCCATCTCCCATACTGGGTCTGTGAGCCAGCATATTCCCAGATCAGGAGCCCATTACTAGGAGCATYCATCTCTCATACTGGGTCTGTGAGCCAGCATATTCCCAGATCAGGAGCCCATTACTTACTTGGGATAAAGTTAAACATCAAGTGTTGTTTTTCAAGTGACTGATCGTTGTTTTCGCATGTGCTGATCAATACCAGGTTTTCGTTGTTTCCAGGTTTCATTGACTATAAAAAAACAAAATTCCTGTACGTTATTAAAACAAATAAATAAATAAATAATATCACAATATTATTTGTTTTATTTTTGAACCCTTTTAAATTTTCTTTGGTTTTTATTATGTATTTTAAATAAACTCTTTAGCTTGGTCGTAATTAAATGTCTCCAATTTCACACCACATGTCATTCCCTTGAGTATCATTTCTTTGTTTAAGGTTTGCGCTCGGTTGCACATGAGAAGACACATAAATATGGATACGACTGAAACAAAAAATATTATTCTCAAGGGGATGACACGTGGTCTGAAATGGGCAAAAATTAAACCGAAGCTAGAGCTATTTCTCACGTTATCTTACCGCAGATCTGGTGTTCACACACTTTCGGCTGCCAACGTGCTGGAGTGAACCTCCTTYAGTAAAACTGAACTTGTTTCCACCACAGTTAGAAAACAATCCCAGAGTTATGCCATCGACTATCTTGCCAGTCGGAGCAACGCACTTGCCGCTTCCTTTGTGTATGAGATAACCGTTTTCTAGAGCAAATTCCAGTCTAAAAGAAGCACGAGATGAAGAAATTGGATTGATTATTTTAAAAACGGGCCCTTAATTGAACTCAGTAGGTTATGATGATAAGCATGTTTTCTGTGGGGCAGACATTTTTTACCTCTTCTCGTTACAGCCAGCGTAAATAACTAGTTTCGTTCCATCAGCCGGGACTCCAATACCACCACCAGCGACGTGAATACATTTTAAAGAACCCAAATGGACAAGAGATCCGGGACCATTCAAGCTGACATCACCTTTGGAAAACACRAAATAAGACAGTTACGAATACAGTCCCTTTTTTTATTTGTAAATTTGTAAGTACTAATATGTCCCACGATTACAGAATCATTTGTACCGGGTTTAGTATTAGCATCAAGTATTAAGGTATTTTTGTGCTTGGATAGTTGTTAAAGATGTGAATCATGTTTTTCAAGCTTTTCTTTTTCGAAAAGAATATTCCGAGCTCCTGGTTTAGCTTCAGGTTTAAGCCTAGTAAGAGAACAAATCATTTACAAAGGCAACTGTAATGTAAATGAATGAATACGTCAGGTCTATTGATGGTTTTCACAGCCGCCATGTTGGATGAATTTAACAAAAGATTCGCCATTAGTGTCTTTTGTTATATCATCCAACATGGCCGCCGTGTCTTTTGTTATTTCACTCTCTTGGGAATGATTACAAAACCAGCAATTTTTCTTGGTCAAGGAAATAATTTGCTTGAGTGAAGGCGAAGCAATGTAGTCTAAGTCGAGGTTGGACTTGCGAATACAATGCAGCAAATGTATGAACACATCAAGCCCAACCTCGCCATTGTTTCGTGGTCAAGGAAAGAATTTGGTCACTCAAGCGAATTTTATAGGAAAGATGTATTTACCTGCTTGCCAACAGACGTTCACTCGTCTTCTTTTGACTGTTCTGACCACAAGATCACATTGGAAGTTCTGATCATCACGTGATGGATTGCACGTGGTCTGGATCAGTTTGTTCCCGATTGAAGCTCCGTTGGTGTCAATACAATGACGACTCCAGACGTTCTAAATGATACGCAAAGTAAACTATGTATATGTTCAAGTAGAGCAGTTTTTTCATGACTGTGAAAAGCCGTGCTGTGACTGTGATGTTTTCCAGAATTTTAATTCGCTGATTTTTTTTTTCTCGTGCAATGTGATTGGTCTGGCAGTGCCGTTTCGACCTCTCGCTGATAGGATTCACATCACTCATAGTACACTGCGCATTTCTGGCTCGACATGCAATTTGCAATAAAATTTCACCGAACTTATTTGAAATACCTGTATACCTTAAGGTTGTCAAAAGTATATATATATCGTGGACASAGCAAGTCAATTTCTGAAAAAAAGCTGTGTTTGTTTAAATTTTACTCTTGCGTGAAAACCTGTGTGACTTCTGCTTACCATGAGTTGTCCTTTTAGCGTATATGCCCATATTTGTCTTTCATCTGTATCGTTGCATCCAGTAACCTTAACGAAAGTATTCTTAGCATTGCTTTCCACGTAAAGACAGCCGCCCTTTCGATCATCAGTGGCTGCCTGTTGGTTCTCGATGGAGAATTGCTCTGAAATGTTATAAATAATAATAAATAAATAATAAATATTTTAGTTCATACACAATAGGCTTTACGGCTAGAAGAGTGTGGGGCCTTGTATTTACCATACACACTCCTTACTACATATATGTTATTTACCGTCCTATAGTTGGTCCGGATAGGGAAAAACTGTGCCCGAGGTCTTAAATATACGTTTTCAATACGTTTTCAAGACCGAGGGCACAGTTTTTACTTATCCGGACCAACTATAGGACGGTAAGTAACTTATTTATTTTTATCCCGTATTGTTTAGCAGCAAAGGATACCGGACCTCGAGCGCGGGCAGATACTTACAAAATACCGCCCGCTCAAACAGCCAATCAGAACGCACGATTTTTTAGGATACCGGACCGGAAAAAAATAAATTCCAATATTCTATACACTCAACTAATGAAGAAGTTGAAGTTGAGCTTGAATTCCTTCTGGAATATCCTTTGGGATGATTATTGCAACTACTATAACTTGTGGGGCCACTAAGGCATCGAGAACCAATCAAATTGTAGAATAAAAACAATACATCCCAACTTTGAGTAGTGGAGCCAATCAGAAAGCAGCAGAAGACAATTCGCGTTTCGACATATCTTTTTATTCCCACAAGAAAATGACAATGGCTATCAGGGTCTAATTACAATTCTTGTGCAGAAATAATTGACCCATAATTCCTTTCGGGGAAGGCTGTCAACTCAGCTGGTAATACCGACCTGGTACAAACAAGACTCACCAGACATCTCGAAGTCAGCAAAAGGATTCGGTTTTTCGTAGTATTGCTTCGAAGTGAATGTTCTTCCTTTAGGATTCATTCTATTCTTGTACCAGTTCGTAGCCTTCGTTGAACCGCCTCGCAGACTTTCGATCGGGTTTTTCAAACTAAACGCGAGCGGTATGTACAGACGTTGTCCAAATATGGTCAGGTCTACCGCAGCATCGAAAACCATGTTCCTGAACAATCCTAAGATGTAAGTGTCCAATGCAAACTCGAAGTTGATGCTATAAAAAGAATAAAGAAACGAAAAATATAATCAAAGATGTAAGATAAAAGATAAGTACGTAAACAAGAAAAGACAAACTGTCCTCCTCGGCTCGCTCTGTGAATTTGAGCAGCAGAAATGAAGCTGGATTATATTTTATACCTGTGTACTTTGAACATGTAAGTGTGGACAAAGTTCATCGCTTTGTTGGCCCAACCGCATGAAAGTTCGACTCCTTTGAGGAAAACGATGGCTACATCCAAGACATTACACAGACCTTTACTAATGAATTTAGCTGCTTTGCATGTACCTTCACATAGGTATGATACAGCTGGAAAATAAATGAATCATTATTTGTATTGAGCCCTGAAACAAGCAATGGGCTGATCTAAGTTAGGGCACGGCTAACTCACAGATCAACCTTGAAACAACCTCTGGATTGATCTAGGTTAAGGCACGGCTAACTCACAGATCAAACCCTGAAACAAGCAATGGGCTGATCTAAGTCAGGGCATGGCTAACTCACAGATCAACCTTGAAACAACCTCTGGTCTGATCTAAGTCAGGGCATGGCTAACTCACAGATCAACCNCATGGCTAACTCACAGATCAACCTTGAAACAACCTCTGGTCTGATCTAAGTCAGGGCATGGCTAACTCACAGATCAACCTTGAAACAACCTCTGGGCTGATGTAAGTAAGTGCATGGCTAACTCACAGATCAACCTTGAAACAACCTCTGTGCTGATCTAAGTCAGGGCATGGCTAACTTTTAGATTGATTGATATTTAGCTAGCTAGTTTTTTTCTTTTTTTCTTTATTTCTTTCCGATGAAGGAAAACCTGTGAACAAGGAGAAAACTCTTGAAATCAAGGAACAAATTCCCCCTCAATATTAAGTACTAACCTTTACAGCCATCTCCAACGATGCCCTCGCAGATCAGTTTACTGATGAACCGTCTCTTCCTAACATGAAGTGAAAATAATTCGTGTCTTTTGTCTTGAAGTTCTCTCTTTCGTCTCCAGCCCTTGAAGATCTTCTTAACAAATTTACCAACCTTAAGAACACCCAAAGAATTGGTGAATAAAAAAGTATATAAAAAGATAAGAACATGCGTAATAGGTAAATTACGAGCCTTGTATTTTATTATTATTACGCATGTTCTTATATGACTGACTTCCGAGCCCATCCCACACGGCTTACCGCCTCATCTCTCATATATAAAAAGATATGAACTACGGCATATCCTTCCAGATTTTCAGAAAGCCCTCGAATTGCAAGTAATAGACCTTTTACAGCATTTCGGAATGCAGCTCAATTTTTTTTTCCTTCTCCAATTTGAGCTCCTTTGACGTCACATGCAAGGGGTTAATAGAAAATTTCAGCAGTTCTATATTTAGTAACATTACGCCATCGATAATAAAAAGGGCAAAAGAGGCAATAAATTCATTAAATTACAGCTGATTGATGATACAGATATCAATCACCGGTGCAAGAGACTTGTAATAACAGCTATGAATAGAAAAATTCCGAAATCCTATTTTTAGTWCCATTACGTCATCGATAATGAAAAGGGTTAAGGAGACAAGGAATTCATTAAACTTCAGTTTAATTATGACACACACACATACTGTATATGCGTGAATAAATAAGTGAAAAGTCGGGGATTCGATTCTCATTCTGGTTCTCTAATTTTTTCTAGGGTCGTTGTGTTTACTAGCGTGTTTATTAGCGTGCTTGTTTTCGCATTACGATACAGACATCACTCACCGGTGCAAGAGCCTTTCCAACCTTTTTAACAGCCTTAGAAACCCATTGACCTGTTGAGTAGGAAGGAAATACCTATAACATTAGAGACCTTAAGCACAACGTTCTTGCTGGGTACCACAAACCTCAAACTGCAGTTTGACGTCAAGCGTTTTTCGTCAGACGTTTTGACATTTACCAAGGCATTATAACGAAGTTGTTGCTAAAAGAGCCGCCATATTGAATTTCATTGATGCTGCGTGTTAAATCTTCGTGATTGCGGGCGTGTTTCTGAACCTGATCCCTAGCGGCTAGAGGTTAGCGATTAGCGGTAAACCTGATGCTAAAGGTCTCTATTTACAACACACGACCCTCAAGAAGGATTCTGGTATCTAACTTCTTCGAATTCGTACAATTACTGATGTGTTCCTTGATCACAGACTCATTTAGACTGGGTTAGCCTCACTTCAGTCTCACTATCAAAATACTGGCAAATATCATCGGTAAATTAAAGAACGACAATTTTAACGGAATGCAAACATTTTGAAGTTCCAACCCAGTTCATTGGAATTTGTTGACGAAAAAGACGGGTTGGAATTGCAGTGAATTTTGGGGCTGAATGAGGACGAAATGCAGGCTTTCTTGGAAATATGTTTCTTTGAATAACTCTTAAATGTATTGCAATCCCTACTCGACCTAGTCTTTTCCTCGACTTTGAACGGTAATGGAGAACTCAAAACTGGAGTATTACTGGTATTTAACAATTATTTGAATATCGGGGAATATTTACCGAGACGCGAGTCTTTGAGCGGCGAGGTAAATATTCTCTAATATTCTCTGAGGCTGAGGCAAATAATTGTTTTAGTATAAATACACAGGTATTTTTTTAAAAAAAAAAAAAAAAAAAAAAAAAAAAAAAAAAAAAAAAAAAAAAAAAAAAAAAAGGAAAAAAACAAAGTAACAGCAACAAAGCAGCCGCCATTTTGGATTATCACTTTTTTCAATAATCACCTGTCTGTTTTTACTAACAAGACTTAATGAGTGGAACAAAGAATTACCTGCAGCATTGACAGCTCCTCCGATCCATTTACCGGCCTTGTCCAGAGCCCCCTTACAGTTTCGTTTTGCCTGTTGACACTTCAAGTTTCTACATTTATCACACTTGAATGACATCTTTCGCTTGCATTCGGCTTTCTCTTCGCGCACGCGTCGACGTGCCTCGCTCAGTTTCTTTTGAGCCGCCTTTAGGAATCGGTCAACTGCTTTGACTGCAGCATCCACAGCCTATACAATTACAATATAATTATAACACAGTTACTGTAATCCATTCAATATAAGAGATTTTTTGATTGGCTGGGAGTGCGTGGACTATAATGATATSTTTGCAGCACATGCGCGCATTTTCGGTTTGTTCGATAAGCAGGATGCTTTGCGCAGTGGCTTCTGTGCAAACAATACCATAAGCATGATGAACAAAAGATGTTTGTGCTCAAGTTTCATCGTTCGCGCCTTTCTRCAAGATTTCCAAGAATTCAAGAGTATTTTACTAAAAAATGAAATTTTTGTTCTCTCCAAATATATCAAACATTTCGTGAGCATACGTTTGAGAGAACAAAATCCTGCATTTAAAAAGACTATTTGAACGACACACCAATATGGCCGCCTTCTGAGGCTAGTGAAAACGCTCTATACAGACTACGATGTACAAAAAAAGTACGTTTATTGTCACAGAAGATATCTGGGGAGCTGCATAAATTTAAACATCTCCTCTATATCGCCTTACCGCAGTAAGTCCATTAAGATCAACTTGTACTTTGACGTAAAACTTGGAGCCATCAAATGTGAATTTTGGTGTATATTCTGCAGCGACGATGACTTCTGCTTTAATTAAGTTCAAAAAGTTTCCTCGCACGACAAACTCTTTATGGAACATAGTCAGGTTTAGGCGGGTGTAGGCATTGATGGAAAAGATTTCTATGTAGCCCTCGATGTAAGCCTTTAAAGAGAAAAAAAGGTCACTCATAATTAATATAATAAATTCATTAAAAATCGTCAACGGGTATGTTGTTGCATGCGCATGCGCTGACTCAGTCTCTGGTAGAGTTGCTTGTTGGTTGTTGGGTTTTCCTTCATTTGCAAACATTACAAATTCCAATTTGATAATGGAAGAGAGCCACAGGTTTGTTAGCAATGCAATGGCTATTACAGTAGTAATCGTAAAACCGTGGGCACCTAGAAATATTTCAAGAATGTTTCTTAACCAATCAGAAGCGTTGTTATCTTTCAGTTATCTTGTGGTTAGAAAGTCAACTCTGATTGGCCAAAGAACAATAGAACATTCTTGGAATATTTTTAGGTGCCTATGGTTTTTTGTTTCGCACAAATCATCGATAAACAATAAAGGAAGATAGTTGAGATAAAGATTAAAATTTGTAAAATAATCATGGATGGCTAGCGACGATACTTACGTCCCAAAATACAGGATTACTTCGAGCATGGATTAAGAACGTGGGGCCAAGATTAGGCTGAGAGGGATTACGGACGAGTTTTGCAATGGAAGCGATTTTAATTGGGTCTGGTTCAATGTGAACGTAAATAATCTGAAAAAGACAAAAAATAAAGACGTCGAAATCAACACTTTCATATTTTTCAGTGTTGCCGTACCGTATGTGGTTTCCCACTCATACGAGAACCATTTTTATGGGAAAGCCATTTCAACGTTATGGCATGTACCRTGTACGAGCTGTAAGTCAGTACAATACGTTCCTTACTCATACGAAAACCATTTTTATGGGAAGCCATTTCAACGTTATGGCATGTTGTACCGTGTATGTGTTGTAACTCAGTACCGTACGTTTCTTACTCACACGATAACCATTCTTATGGGAAGCCATTTTAATGCTACGGCATGTCGTGCCATGCATGTGCTGTAAGTCAGTACCGTATGTTTCSCGCTCATACGAGAACCATTCTTATGGGAAGCCATTTGAACGTTGTGGCATGTCGTGTCGTGTATGTGTTGTATTCAGTACCTTACGTTTCTTACTCATACGATAAACATTCTTATGGGAAGCCATTTTAATGCTACAGCATGTCGTGCCATGTATGTGCTGTAAGTCAGTACCGTACGTTTCCCACTCATACAGTAACGATGTCGCACCGTGTACGTAATAAAGAACTTACGGTTTCTGATAAATGTAATTCAACAAAAAGATTCCATCCAAAGATGCTGACTTGTCCCTTTAATGCAAACCCTCTATATATTAATGGACCACCTGCCAAGTACAGATCTATGTCTTCTGTAGCAAAGGCAACCTACGGAGGAAAATGGTATTGAAGATGGATATAATGATATTACATGATGATGATGATATTTGATGATAAATAATGACGATACTTGGTGATACTGATGGTGATGGTGATGGTGATGGTGATGATGATACCTGATATGATGATGATTTTGATGATGGTGCTGATGATACTTGATGATGAATAGTGATGATTTATGGTGATACAGCGTCATCAACTTGCGCGCGTGCACTCTTTCCGTTTATTGCAGTTGAACGGAAGTTGATGACGCACGGGTGTAGGGTAAGGCGAAATTTAAACTGCATCCGGTTACTAAAAATAGCCCAACTGGGAATTTACATGGCGCGCGCGTTATTAAGAAGTTTCCCTCTCTTATCTATGCTCTCTTGATTCTATTTATTTCAGGTCAAAAATTTATGTCAGTTTTCAAGCTGCACGACAAAACTGGAATTTCCCTTCCGTAAATCATAAACCAATCGGTTGTTACCTTTGACATTTTTGACTGAAAGCTGAAAATACCTAATTCCAATGGGCTACTCTCAACTACAAGTATATTATTATTATTATTATTATTATCATTATTATTATGTTATTATCATTATTATTATTAATATTGATAATAACAATGCAATAAATACACGAAAGCCTAAGYYCAAATCAAAGTGGCTATCGATACATTGAGCACTTTTCTTATGAATATAAAAACCGTGTCCATCCCTTGAACATAAGGTTTTTTTTTGGTTTTTTTTTGTGATTGTTCATTCTCTTGTTATTGATAATGTCCTCCTCAGTATATGAGCTGTACCAAGAAGTATTATTATTATTTTGTTTACAAGTATTGCTCTTAGTGAAATTGCGGATACATTTCTACATATATCTAAGCAATTCCCCAGTTATATCAAGTCAATGTCAGATCGGTTGTATGTACTGTTTAATAAACTCGCAGGAGTTTTTTTATCAGGATTTAAAAACACGAGGCGTACACGAGGCGTAGCCGAGTGGTTTTAGACCCGGTAAAACACTATCTGSGAGTTTATTGAACGGCTTCGAAAACTGATGATGTATGTTCTCATATTGTACTGAATTCTTTACGAAATGAACCAAGCTTGATAGAGAAAATCCAAGTTAAAGTTTATGCAAATGAAGATGAATCTATATCAGATATTCCTATCTATTCCTTCATGAATTTATATTGAATTTTTGAAGTTCATTTAAAGCTATGCAAAGCTTTCATTATCTCACAGTTTTAAGAGATTATCCACTTTTGACATTTTTTGATTGCATTCAAACTATCCGTCAGCCCTACACTATTCAATTTATCAATCAGATTTCTGTGATACCCCGCGAGAAAATCAAAGACTACATTAATTTGTTGAACACTATATCCAGAGTATAGTCTCTTTAAGCGTGCTCTTAAGTAAGCACATTTCTCCGTTGAAAATTATTATTATTATTATTATTATTATTATTTACATTATCAGAAAGTAAATAAATATTGCATTTAGATCATCATATTATATTTTCTGCTGCAGCAAAAAAGAATGGAAGAGTCCTCAGTTAATGCAGTATTAATATTAATATAGTATTAATCTTTTTTTTTCAC